CCCTACATTGCTTTTATTTGATTCACTGTTGCTTAAAATGAAAATCAGATGCACAGGTTGATCTGACCAGGCTTGGGAAACTTGAGTGTAAGCTGCTGGCATAAAACAAATGCATGAGGCCAACAGAAAAATCAAGATCTGACTCAGGTTTAGCAACTCCCTTTTATTTATTTATTTATTTTAAAAAGCTTATTCATTTCTTCTATGAGAGCAAAAGAGAGAGACATATACTCCCAACAGGGTCCTCCACTGGGGGCCACCCTAGTCTCAGCTGGCCCAGATCACATGTGCACACGTGGCCTTGCTCCAGCAAGCCCTGAGACACGAACCCAAGACCTTTTCCATGAAAGTCCAGCTACATGGTGGCTGTGCCACCACCTGGCCTTGACTCACTTTCAATAAAGGCTGCTGGTGCTTTGCCTGGATTCCCTTCACAGAGCTGATGCACCTATCACCTATTGGCTCTGAGTGTCAGCTAATAATAGGTACAACTGCACCTTTCTGCAGAGAATTGTCCTTGGTTGACAGAAGTCATCTCAGTGGAAAATGCCTGAGAATTTCAGCAGTCTCTGGAGAAGAGGACAAAACCAGTCCATGTCTGACTGACCTGGGGATACAAAATCCCAGCCCAACCCACTTACTTCAGTCAGGACAACTCTGGTGCGATTTGCACTCCAGAGCAACCCATGGGATCAGGCTCAGTGCAGACGTCAGTGAAAACCACATTTTGCTTAGTTCCTTGTTCTGCTTCATCCTTCTCCTGTTTATCTCCTTACAGATTTTTGAGAGCGCTCCAAAAGTGTTTGCTCAAAATTATTTGTCTCAAGTTCTGCTTCTCAGGAAGCTAGACTAAGACATCCATCTACTGATATTGATTTACAAAATATAATAATTTAGGTATGCAGTGGGCTCTGAATAAACAGAGGGATAAAATCTGCTTATTCCACAAGTGATTACAGTATGAAAGCTCTAAGCCTCAGTTTACTTATCACCGACATGGGAATAACAACCTTCTCATAAGGTTTTGGGGAAGATTGGCAGTGATCTTCATGCTGATGGTAGTAGCTTTCATTCATGTATTTAAAAATCACATTAAAATATTTAATGAATTCATTCATTTATAGCCCCTTTTAAGTTTCTTCGATATTCTAAGCACTGTCCTAGTTTCTAGAGTATAGTGATAAACAGATAAAAATAACTATTCTTATAAAATATTAACTGGTAGAAATACTCAAAATAGAAAAATCAACAGTAATTTAGATGCATATTTTGAAAAATAATGCAAAATCTAGGTGGAGTAATGTGGTTTTAAATCCTCATGACATGGGACTAACAGATGGTGTAATGGTTACATCACAGGACTCCTACATGGTGCAAGTCTTGAACCCAACAGCTTAAATTCACTCCAGGTGCATGATGTGGTGTGTGTCCAAGATCCCAAGAGGAGAATGGAGGAGAAGGGACTACAGTATGGACATCCACCCTTGGTGGTGACTTCTACTTTCTGTCTCTCTGTCTCTCTTTGTCTTTCCAGCAAGCTCATGCATACTATAGCAAAAACTTCTCTTAAAAAAAAAATCCTCACGACAATCCTATCTGCTTCTCAAATGAGAAAATTGAGGGTTAGAGAGCCTCATTGAGTTATTTAATGTCATATAATCAGTAAGAGGGGGGAATACCATCTTGACGTCTCTGTCTTAACAGCTAAGCAGCATCACCTCACAGTACATGATAAATGTGGTCTATAGTAATAAAAATGTTGACTATCTGAACAAGAACCCCACCACCACACACACACACACAGTCACAGAGTCCCAGGTCATCTGACATTAGGGGGGAAAAAACTACTCTAGTTGGTTCTTAGAATTTCTTATCTAACAAGAATCCCAGCTCTTATGTTGCCAATTTCCCAAAACAAGCAGATGAGACATTAAGATCTGGGAATTAGTGAGTATAACTTGATTTTGGAATTAAAGGAGTTAAAAAGGAGGGTTTGAGAGGAAGATAGAAATAAAGGTGAGAAGACAATGTGGCCAGCATTCACAGAAGGAAATGGCCTTACCGCTCATTCAGGTTAAGATGCCAGTTGTGTTTAATCGAGAAATGGCAAAGAGAAAACATGACTATGCCCACACTGTGACACCCTGGATGGGATACTGCCTGCACTGCAGGAGGTGGGGTGCGAGGAGGATTCAGGTTGTACTGAATCACCCGACTGCTTACCTGTCTCTAACTCTGGAGCTCAGTCCATGCAGATGGAGCTATGCTCCATCCACAGGTGAACTGGGCCATGTAAGACCAATTATAAAACAACAAATATAAAAGTAAACCAGTAGCAAAGGTGAACAGCACCCAGTTCTGGAATGCCTTGCTTCATTCAGCCCCATCTTAGACACCTGAAATGTGCTTCTTAATTTAGAAAGAAAAATTTCACTGAGGCTGCAATCCTGCATTTCAGGCAAAAAAGGAGAGGAGATGATTGGCAGGTGATTGAAGGGCAGTGTTTACACTTAGGATTTGCTGAATTTACCAATTTAACCTCAGAGATTAATCATCTTTGGTTTTAAGAAGTAGACCCAACTCACATTTTGGATATTTCTCCACTTTAGAGGTGAGTCTTGGTGACTGTGAATGAGAACAATGCAGGCCACATGCTCAGTCCTAAAAGACAAAAAGGAAAACAGCATGTGAAGGAGATGAATGGAGGGTCCAGGTTTAGCTTTCCTCTGAGCCAAG